TGGGTTATTCAGGTTCACTAATCCCTCTTGTTTCATTACCTATCCAGCAAAACTGCTCCACTCTTGTTTCCACTTAGCCTCTGTGTTTTCTTGTTTAAACTTGCAGCAAGTTTACATGTATTTCCGAGGTAGTGGTAAAGCTGCAGAGATGAAGCGGGAGGCTGCAACAAGAACCATGATGGCAGCACTATGATAGGGAGACTCTAATAGAAGATGGCATTTGCAGGCGGACTAGGATTTGTCCAAGAAATTCCCTTACTTGTTCTTCCCATACACCATTGGTGCCTTTCTGGCCGGCCTATTCATTTTATTAATGTGTTGTTTTAATTATAATTCTGAATGAAGAATGTTGAGAAATCAGATAAAGTTGAAAGCAAAGATAATCAAAGTTTTTGTCTGGTTTTTACCAGGCTAACCCCTGTTTTCCCCATATTTCATTTCAGTAGTGTTGTTATGCATAGAATGGTTTGTATGCTTGATCTCTGCTTCCGGGGAGAAATGCCGAGTATCTGACACGGGCGGATTTACATAATAATTAGTGCTTTCTTTTTCCCACTTTAATTTTTTTTAACGCGACACGTATGTATAGAATTTAGGTTCTATTACACAATCAGAAAGAGTTTATATATGGCAATCAAGTTATGTTTTGCTTGTAAATAAATCCTTAGATCTAACAAGCCATATGAGGTTTTAACGTCTCTATTTCAAACAAGTTATTATTGTGAATCAGTGGATATAAAATAAATACGCAAAGAGGTGAATAATTTAATCTATTACATTTATTTTTTAATCATATTATATCAATGAAAAATAAATAAAATAAACAAACAATGTCAAAATTTGTCAGTGAATCAAATTAAGAATTATTTCCAAAAAAAAGAAAAGAAAAGATTTTTATTAGCATTTTCATTTCCTTTCTTTGGTTTTTCCCTCCCTTTATGGAGTTGGGCGTTAGTTAGGGCTGAGTAGTGTAAAGTGCCGCAGAATCACAGAAACTTCCTAATCTAGGAACCCTTAGAGGCTGACAAATAAAAAACTTGGCCAAAAACGCTACAAAATCATTGGGCGTAAACCCTAAACCTTCACCGAAAGAAGAGATTCAGAAACCCAAAAACGCAAGCCGAAAAGGAAAAGATGCTACAGAGCTACGGTTCAAGAGAATTGGGGCATCATAGTTTACAGCGCGACATCTTGGTTTCACCAAGTAAGCTTCCTCACCTCCATTTTCCTGGTGCAGCTAGAGTGTTTTTGGGGTATAATCATGACCAAAGATTTTCTAGAAAACAACACTTTCCTGAGCAAGGCTCAAGTGCAAGCGTACCCTCGTGTGCCCAGAAGCAGTATTCAAGAGGATTTGGGGTTTCTATAGGGTTTAAGCTACAGTGTCTCTCTAAAACCCTGTTTTCGCCCACTAAAAGTTCTTCAAATAATGTTAAAAAGAAGAGGTATAAAGGTGTTTTGCCTTCGATTCTTAGGGCTTTGGAGTGCGATACGGACGTAGAGAAAACCCTTAGTTCGGTTTGTGAGAATTTGAGTCCGAAAGAACAGACTGTGATACTCAAAGAACAGAGTAACTGCGAGAGAGTTATTCGGGTTTTTGAGTTTTTCAAGTCACTGAAAGACTATGTGCCGAATGTTATTCATTATAACATCGTGCTTCGAGCTCTGGGGAGAGCTCAAAAATGGGATGAGTTAAGGCTTTGTTGGATTGAAATGGCGAAAAATGGTGTTTTGCCCACAAACAATACTTATGGAATGCTTGTTGATGTTTATGGGAAGGCTGGTCTGGTGAAAGAAGCACTTTTATGGATTAAGCATATGAGACTCAGAGGACTTTACCCTGATGAAGTCACAATGAATACCATTGTTAAGGTTTTGAAGGATGCTATGGAGTTTGATAGGGCAGATAGGTTTTATAAAGATTGGTGCATTGGGAAGGTGGACTTGAATGATCTTGAGTTGGATTCGATGATTGATTTTGAAAATGGGTCTCGTTTAGCTCCCGTTAGTTTTAAGCATTTTCTATCAACTGAGCTTTTCAGGACAGGTGGTAGGAGTCCTGTTTTGGAAACTTTAGGTTCACCAGACACAGAAAGTTCTATTAGAAAGCCACGACTAACGTCTACATACAATACTTTGATTGATTTGTATGGAAAAGCTGGGCGCCTCAGGGATGCAGCTGATATCTTTGCTGAAATGTTAAAATCTGGTGTGGTGATGGATACTATCACATTTAACACTATGATCTTTACTTGTGGAAGTCATGGCCACTTCTTGGAGGCAGAATCTTTGCTTAGTAAAATGGAAGAAAAGGGTATACCTCCCGACACAAAGACTTATAACATCTTTTTGTCTCTGTCTGCTGGTGCTGGAAATATTGAGGCGGCCCTGGAATATTATAGGAAGATCAGGAAGGTAGGTCTTTTCCCTGATATTGTAACTCACAGAGCTGTTCTTCATATATTATGTGAGAGGAATATGGTTCAAGAAGTGGAGACTGTAATTGAAGAAATGGACAAATTTGGTATTCACATTGATGAGCAGTCTCTTCCTGTTCTTATTGAGATGTATATTGCCACAGGGTTGCTTGACCAGGCAAAGAATCTTTTTGAGAAGTTTCTTTCGAATTGTGAGCTTTCATCGAAGACACGTGCAGCAATTATAGATGCTTATGCTGAAAATGGGCTCTGTGCTGAAGCTGAGGCTGTGTTTTATGGCAAGAGATATTTGCCAAGGCAGAAGAAAGGTGTTGCGGAATACAATGTCATGGTCAAAGCCTATGGCAAAGCAGAACTCTATGATAAGGCTTTGTCTCTCTTCAAGAGCATGAGACATAATGGTACTTGGCCTGATGAGTGCACGTATAATTCCCTTATTCAAATGTTATCTGGAGGTGATTTAGTGGATCAGGCAAGAGATCTCTTAGGTGAAATGCAAGCAGCAGGATTCAAACCAAAGTGTCTAACCTTTTCCTCTCTTATTGCATGCTATGTCCGTCTTGGCCAGCTTTCTGATGCCGTTGATGGTTACCAAGAAATGATCAGTGCAGGGGTGAAGCCCAATGAAGTTGTTCATGGGTCTTTAATTAATGGGTTCGCAGAAATTGGTGATGTTGAAGAAGCTCTGCGATATTTTCGGATGATGGAAGAATCTGGAGTATCAGCAAATAAGATAGTGCTAACTTCGCTGATTAAGGCTTATAGCAAAGTGGGGTGTTTGGAAGGAGCAAAACAAATGTATGAAAAGATGAAAGATCTGGAGGGTGGTCCAGATATCATTGCATCAAATAGTATTTTAAATCTTTATGCAGATCTCGTAATGGTGTCTGAAGCCAGATGTGTTTTTGACAATTTGAAAGAAAAGGGAACCGCAGATGGGTTTTCATATGCAACTATGATGTATCTGTATAAAAGCATGGGTATGCTTGACGAAGCAATTGATGTTGCAGAAGAGATGAAACAGTCTGGTTTGTTAAAAGACTGTTCTTCATACAATAAAGTAATGGCATGCTATGTTACGAATGGCCAGTTACGTGGGTGTGGTGAATTGTTGCATGAGATGATTAGCCAAAAGATTTTGCCTGACACAGGGACCTTTAAAGTACTATTCACTGCACTCAAGAAGGGAGGCATTCCAATTGAAGCTGTGATGCAGCTAGAGTCATCATACCAGGAAGGGAAACCTTATGCAAGACAAGCTGTTATCATTGTTGTTTTCTCTTTGGTAGGCTTGCACGCTTTTGCACTTGAGTCTTGTGAGGCATTCACAAAAGCAGAAATAGCTCTTGAGTCTTTTGTGTACAATGCTGCCATATATGCTTATGGATCATCAGGGCACATTAATAAGGCTTTGAATATGGTCATGAAAATGCAGGATGAGGGCCTGGAGCCAGACCTTGTTACCTTTATTAATCTCGTAGGTTGCTATGGGAAAGCTGGCATGGTTGAAGGTGTGAAGAGGATATATAGCCAATTAAAATATGGAGAGATTGAGCCAAATGAATCCTTGTTCAAGGCCGTCATAGATGCTTACAGAAATGCCAACAGGCAAGACCTTGCTGAATTGGTCAACCAAGAGATGAAATTTGCTTTTGAAGGACGCGATTATTCCGAGTCCGAGGTTGAAGGTGAAGATGAAGAAATTACTCTAGACCTATAGATTTCAAATGAATATTCACGAATAGCTGAAATTTGCTTTCTAAGGACAAGTTTATTCTGAGTCCGAGGCTGAAGGTGAACACAAAGAAAATTCTCTAGACCCTTAGAACCCAATCTCTTAAGACTCCCAAGTGTTCCTAATGTATGCTATAAGCAACAGTCTCTGTAGGGTGTATACTGTATACTGAGCAATGTAAAAGCTTCCAAGATCTGGTGTGTAAATACTAGAGGTCAAAGTGATGAATGAATGTATAATGTAAATTCTGGCTTCTCTTTATACCAGATTTGCCTGTTCTTCTAAGTTGATTGTAGTCATGCGTTGTGATTGTCTGGTTCGTTGTGTTGGCCTCGTCCATGTTTGATTGGGAAGTCCAGGCAGAGTGATTCATTACTATGGGTGACACGATTCTCTTTTTCTAATAATCTGTAGAGGTGTACCAAGTATGTATGCCCTATTGATTGGAAAGTTCCCAGTTGACTGTAACCGAGGTGGTTGAGCACGAGTGTTTTCAGTTAGATGCACATCAATGCCTCGGGTTGATATCACATCAATGATTTTGATGTATTTCAGCTATGCAAGAGTAGTAAGCATGGCTACTTGGACCTATGATCAATCAAGTACCCAGCACAAATTTTGGCTACCGCAATTTTGCCAAGTTGGTTTTGTTAGTTTTTCTTCAGTTGGACTTTTCGGGATACGAACTGACCCAAGACATACCATAACACCAAATAGAGCGGCAACTAGCTAATGGCCTATAATCGTTCCTACAACAAGACTGGAGTCATTTACTCCAAAGGTATGGTTTAAAACGTTACCAAGGAATAACAAGAAAACAACTTGGAGCCATTATTTCAAACCCTAGAATCGATTTTACAATCCATACACATATCAACAGGGCCATTGCAGAATTAAGGCGAGGGAGTTCATTTTCTCCTATTATTGGTTTCACAAGTTACAATGATGGATTGAACAGGAGTTTCCCGCTTGTTCTGTAGATTCTGAAAGTGCCAATTAACCAGGTAAAGAACAAGAGAAATCATAATCAAATTTTCATAGCGCTAGAATATGGGAATTTAAGAAACTCTTTTTCAGCAGGAAAATTTGATTCGCAATGACTGCATTTGCCTGAATGGTTCAAACCGCCTGTCAGCTGGTCACTTCGGTGATTCTGCACCTTTAAACACAGCTTTTGATGCACGGCAGAGGCCATATGAAAGGAAAATTAAAGCTGTTTAGACATTTGCGACTTCATGAACTTTGAACCAGGCTAGAAAAATTGATTAACACCGATTTGTTCTCACCATCAGACAGGATCACTTATGCCTAGAAAACCATTTCTTCCAGGCATATCCACATCAGCCACATCAAGATAAGAACCCATGTTAGTGTTAGCCTCAACCCAGCTCCTGCCTGTAATCTTCTTGACTCCCCTGTCTTTCATTAGCTTCCTAACCTTTAAAGCATCATTCCATCGGCCAACTGCTTTATATACATTAGCCAGGAGAACATAACTCATATGGTAGTCAGGTGCTACTTCAATCATTTTCTTTGCAATGCGCTCTGCAGTACTTGAACTTGTACAGGTTGTGCAAGCACCAAGGAGAACAGCCCAAAGAGATGAATCATCTCTGAAGTCTGCACTCTCTATCAAATTTTCAGCTTCTTCCAGTAACCCAGCGCGGCCTAAGAGATCAACCATGCAATTGTAATGTTCAATTCCAGGTTTAATCCCATATGCCCTAGTCATTAAGGCAAAATATTTTCGCCCTTGATCTACCAAGCCTGTATGACTACAAGCGAAAAGGACTCCAATAAAACTAATATAATCAGGTTTAATACCCTTGTTGATCATCTCATCAAATATTCTTAGAGCTTCTCCACCTAATCCATTCTGAGCAAACCCATAAATCATTGAGTTCCATGTTATCAAATTTCTACTAGACATCTGCACAAAGATGCGATGTGCAAAATGAATACAGCCACATTTTGCATAAAGATCAACTAAGGCTGATTCTACAATAACATCTCTCCAACCACCCCTTCTCACATACTGACAATGAACTTCTTTACCTTGTCTTACAGCAGCCAAACCTGCACATGCACGGAGAACAGTTCCAAAACAGTAGAGATCCGTCTTATCCATTTCCCTGAAAATTCTAATAACAGATTCATAGTCTTTATTCTGACAGTAAACACCAAGCAATGCAGACCAAGAAACTGAATTCTTTTTTGACATCCTATCAAAAATACGCTGAGATTCATCAACCAACCCACACTTTCCATACATATCAAGAAGGCTACTCTCAACAACCACATTTCCGCAAAGTCCACAAGTAATGACCTTAGCATGCACTTGCTTCCCTTGCCTCAACCGCCCTAAATTACCACAAGCTGTCAATACTGTCCCAAATGTAAACCCATCCGGGCTCAAACCATGATTCCTATGCATCAAATAAAAGAACATCAATGCCTCCTCATACAAATCGTTCCTCGTGAGAGCCGAAATAACAGAAGTCCAACAAATAGCATCCGGTTCAGGCAATTCATCAAATATCTCACACGCCTCCTTCAACTGCCAATTCCTCCCATAAAAATCAGTCAACGCACTCGAAATTACACGATTCGAAACAAACCCGCGTTTTATAACCACCCCATGAAAGCACCATCCCAGCGTCAACTTCCCAAGCTCCGAACACGCCTTGATCACGGCAGATAAAGTGAATCCATTTGGCTCAACTCCAAAACCCAGCATTTCCCAAAACAATTCAAGCGAACTCTCAGGTTTACCCGCTTTAATGTACCCCGAAACCATCGATGTCCACGATATAACATCTTTCACAAACAGCCCATCAAAAACCCTCCGAGTTTCTGTAAAATCAGGACCCAACTTATAATACAGAGCAAGTAAGCTATTGCCGACGAAACGATCCGTTTGGAGACCAGATTTAATAACGTGGGCATGGAATTGGAGCCCATGAGAAAAAGATTGAACATTTGTGCAAGTTTGCAAGAGGGAAGCGTAGAGTAATGGTTTTTTCGAAGAGGATGTTTCGGAAGGGAAACGTAGGGTGTTTAGGAGATGGATAGCAGGGAAAAGTTGAGCTGATTTGCAAAAATGGAGGATCTGAGAATGTTTGTCTGATGGGGTTTTGAAGGGAAATGTGGGGTTGAAAGAAGCAAAAGAGCAGCAATGGCGTTTAAAGAAGGAGAGCTTCATCCAACTGGTTTTTGAATAAATGCCTCTTCGGTGTTTTCAAGCTTTTAAAAGTACCCGCCTTTTTGCCTCCTCCTGTCGCTGTTGTCTTACTCCATTGGCCTCGTGGCTTGTACGAAACACTCTCAAGTCTCTACTATGATGTGAATGTAGCCATGCAGTCACGAATTTCCTTCAATTTTTATTTTATCTTCTTTTTTTCAATGAATATATATATATATATATATATATCTCTCTTATCATATTTATTTTACAAACATCCATACAAATTATTAACACCTTAACACCTTGTAATGATAAAAGTAGAAAAAGATGATATATACTTGTGTTGAAGAAGGAGAGCTTTGACTAGAGTCGACCACTTGCACTAGAGATTGTGAAGAAGGTATAATAATACTCATGGTAAAGGGGCTGTTGATGGTAAATGAGCTGCAACAGCGAAAAGCACAATGACAATTTACTGACGGATTCACGAGCTACGTTTGGTTTCAATTAATGATAGCATAAACATCCAAAACACTAAGCAAGGTTACTTGCTCATGTGGTAGACGACCATAGACACGACCGTGACATGGAAGCTTGGGTGGAGAAGGTAGGACATGTTTCCACGACGCTTCTGTGTCTTCTTTCAGCTATGGCATTCTGCTGGAAAGAAGTTAAATCTTTTCATATTCACCACCAAAATAACAAAAAGAAAAATTAATAATTAGACACAATAGATGTGCTGAATTAATTGTCAACCAACAATGCTTCATAACATATCTTACTTACTTTTCACAAGAAAAAAAATTAGATATATTAGGTAATTAAATTGACCCACAAAAGACATAGTACCTATAATTATCAATACAAGGAATATTGGTTGGTCCTAAACAGTATTGCACGGGTTTGCAAAATTTTGCGAATAATTAATTTTAACTATTATGTAATATGTTTTGGCTGAACATTGATTTTCAAGAATACGGCAGTGTTTGACTTCAAATTCTTCCAACAAGATGATCATGAAGGATGAATATAAACAATGCATGCATTAGATAGCAGATTAAAAGTAGAAAAATTGTAGCAAAGAAAAGTAATAAACAGATAAAGTATAAAAAATCTAAATATAAGCCAATGAACCATCTAATTGACAATTTACAAATCCAAACAGTTTAATCAGAAGCCAAACCTTTGCATCAAAAATAAATCAAACATATTGACCATTTTTAATAGTTGTGAGAAATAATCAACATTTTTTACATTTCATAAATTGAGTTGCATATAAGTCGAACCGTACGAAATATAGAGTTTTGAGCAAAAACTGTGAACCATAGTCTACATTGAATAAAAATACCTTCACACATATAGAACTGTAATCATAGCAAAAATTTAAATAAATATGTTACCAATCCATCAAACAAAATGTATACATCAGTACAATAAACAATATATGAATATACAAGGAAAAAATACGACAATCATCAGAAATTGTTATCATCATATGAGTTGTCGGGTCATTAATAGAATAAACAGTAAATGTTAAGCATAAAACAAACAATAAGATTCCATTAACGCAAAAATACATAAAGACACACAACAATAATCAATAACTATTATTATCATATTTATTCAATTTTTATCAAATAAAAGAAAATAATAAAAAATAATAGTATCAAGTAAAAATGCTGAAATAAAATACACAAAAGTAAGAGAAAAAAATACATAACACTATAGACAACAGCTAAAATTAATCATTCACTTGCAGACAACGAACAATTTAATTATAATTAGTGACCAAATATCAGAATTCATGACAAACTTATAAAAAATAATACAAATATACAACTCCGATAAAAGCAAAACACCAACGGACTAAAAGTCAAAACTTAAAACGTATATTGCATAATAATACAAATAAAGACTAAAGATATAAAAAATCAAATAATCAATTTCATTCAAACATATATATGCGAGATGAGGGACAATAATTTATAAATAATAATAGACTTTGCCAAAGTCTCTTTTGCTGATAATTTCCAGAAGGTGCTCAAGATATAGTTTAGTTAAGAACTTTTATTAGTTACTAGCGGTGAAAGAATTGTTGCCAATGAACAGAGGAGGAAGCCTTCAACGGGCTTATGAACCAAAAGCTCTGGGAAGCGATTTAGGTATAAATAAGCTAGCGGCACTCCTAATGGAAGGTAATTGGGGATGCCCCACCGTTCAGTCTTGTATAATACTGTACAGGGAAGTTCTACACCTGGAAGCAGGATTAGATTGAAACTTTATTTTCAAGAAAATCCAGCCTGTGAGCTTTGCATACATCTTAATTAGAACTAAAAAACTTTGTAATCTTACCATTTGCTGTGGAAAATTCCATTGCAATGCCCAAGGCAGATTTGTGGAGTCCAACTACAACAATTCGCTTCCCTTTGATGCATCCAACAGCAAGTTCATAATCCATGGAGTGTATTACCTCACCGTGAAAGGTTTCTGGCCCTTTTCTTGGAGGAAACTCTGGAATGTTTAGAATGGCATTGAGCCGGCCAAGGCCAAGGACTACAAAGTCCACCTGGTAAACCTGAAGTTTGCATTTAAATGAAAATTCATCCAGTCATGGCATTATTTTTTTCTCATTCTCTTTGTTTCGTTGAGCTTTAGGATTATTATACACTTAATTACATACCTCTATAGAAGCTGAAGGGCTCATCAGTCCCACCTCAGAGATGCCATCTCTTCATCCAATGGCCCTTCAAAGTCAATGCGAATGACTTTGGCATTGAATCTGATGTCTCGAAACACATCAAAATTAGAGATAATAATGGTTATCATGTTACTAGGTATTTACCGATATCCAACTCGGTTATATAAGGTAAAAGTATTTTATAATCAAGTTTGAGATGAGTTCGGCTAATCATTTCACTATTTGTATTGGGATTGAGGACCACCCCTTGTGTGCTCGATATTTGAACTCAGATTATGTTAATATCCGGATTCCTCGAGTACCCAAATTCAATATCTATTTATAAATATTTTATTCGTATTTATATAATATATAATATATAATTAAATTAATATTTAAAACTTTGCAAACAATTCATTTTGATAGAAATTGACAGATATATGAAAAGTATCATTAGTCAAATTATTAATGTGATGTCATTAATATATTTAAATTAAAAAATTATTAGTCAAATTATGAATATCATATTATATTACAAAAGAATATAATGACTATTATATATATTCTTTTAATATAATTACATTTACTTTTTATTTTCGGTTCACTTTAAAAAAATTATAACTTATAAAATTATTAATTATAATATATATATTTTTATTTATATAAACTTATAATATATATACTTAAAAAAAGTTATCAAGTTGTGAGATTATAATAGTATTGGAACTTAATTATTTTTTTAATTTCATGTAATTAAGGTAGACAAACGCATATAATTAATTAATTTAATTCATGAAATTATGATTATTAATTAACTTGTAATGTTTTTTAATAGATATACTCTATATATTGTGTTAATTTATAAAGAATATAATTACTATTATAATATACTTTTAGTATATATACTTTAAATATAAACATATTTACTTTCTATTTTGTGTTAGAGTTACAAAAATCATAACTTATAAAATTATTAATTATAATATATGTACCTTTATTTATATAAACTTATAATATATACCTAAAGAGAAGTTATAAGATTAGAATAGTTTTGAAACCTAGCTATTTTTTTTAATTTCATGCAATTAAGAACAATCTCATATAGTTAATTAAATTAATTCATGAAACTATGATTATTAATTAACTTATAATGTCTTTTAATTTATACTTTATATATTTTGTTAATTTATAAAGAATATAATTACTATTATAGATATACCTTTAGTATACATACTTTAAATATAAACATACTTACTTTCTATTTTGTGTTAACATTACAAAAATTATAATTTATTTATTTTTTATTATTTATATTTAAATTTAAATTTTATTATTTGTGTGTTTTCATAAATTTAATTATTAGTAAATTATCTGAAATATGAATGAGAAATATTATTGTATATGGATACGAGTACTGATTCTGGTTCAAGTAATTGAGTACCTATGATGAGCATTTTAATAATACTTTTATATAATCGAGTTTTTAAATGGGTTCGAGTAGTGGGTATGTATTAAGGTTCGAGTTAAGATAATAAATTTAAAAAAGATTTAGGTAATTATAGGGTTTGAGTGCCTTATTTATTAATCGGATTCAAGTTCGGGTACCTTAAATTAACGGGTATCCTACCCATTGACATCCCTAGTCAAAATGATGAGCATAAGCTTTAACGTACTCCAGCACTTGATGGTGGCTAGGAAACTCTTCCGCGTTTGAAGATGGCCATGGAAAATTTGAATATTGATAAAATTGTTTTGAGGTATGAAGTTTTGTCATTTGAAGCAATGTGGTCCAAACTCCAACGATGTTGCTTTGAGACTAAAAAACTGTTGAATGGAAACCGGACTTTGTGATTTTGATAGAGGATAATTTTTATGAAGATGTCCTGACTAGAGTAAATTATCTTGCATTTAATCAGTTATTCATTGTAATCTACAATTATAATATATTAACATGTTACGTGAACATCATGTAGTATAAAATGACAAGCTTTAGTAGCACTGCAACGCTCATTTTTTGGTGTCACATCGTCGTGCTCTCAACCTTTAGTATGATGCACCCATCTAACCCAATGCCACGGCCACAAGCTTCTAGTGCTACAGCGGTGGTCCTTTCAGCACCGCGGTTTCAATCATCATGTTACTTTATGCACAGTCTGCATCTATCTATCATCTTTGGACATAATTTTCATCTTGATCTGCTCTGAACTAGGTGAAGTGGTAAGCATGAAAATTGTATCCCATTCTCTTAGCTTTCCAATGAATTAAAAATTAAATTAATTGGACCTCTTCAGCTCAAGTTATCTTTAAATTAATGTAACATGTATGAGTGACACTTTTACCATACTTATGCTATCATAACTCAATTTTACCTTGCTCATCACATATC